CGAGGCCCGTTCGATCGGAATTATCGCCGTTCTTCTTCTTCGCGTCGACGGAGAGGAGGCCCAGGCCTCGCGGAGCTCGTTCATCCGTGACCGGATCGTTGCGGTCGCCGGACTCGGGCAACGATTGCGGCGTTTGCGGTTTCGATGCTCTCGAAACGATTGGCCGTCTTTCAATGACCGCTCACAATTTGTTGCGTCCGTGTGGTCTGGCCTCGGCGCGATCTTTAAATCGGCGTCGCGGCTCGGCTTCCCATCGTTAGCGGCAAATCGCCGTCTTTGACTCCGGCCCGTTTAGCGGGCAGGGCTACCGATCCGCGGGGATCGTTAACGCGTCGATCGCCACGGGAATGTTAAACGTTTCTTATAGTTATTCCTCCGCGGAGGTAAGTGGAACTGGAAATAGGCATCTCTCTCCTCGAAGATTGATATTCGCTTCGTCTAGGTCCAGCTAATGAGACGCTTGTCGATTCTTAGGAACGACTGCTAACGATTCGGTGTCTCTGTCCTTAAGTCCCACTATCCTCTAGTAACTAGTACTGGTTATTAAGCATTTCCATTTCGAAGCGATCTTATTGCGACCGTTCTCGAGATGGAAGTTACTTAACGCGAGCACCGAGTCGATCGATGAATGATTATTCCACAGAAATCGGAGAAGTGCGTTTATCGGAATTCTAGTGGGTTTACATCCTAGTTCGCTGCTATATCTGTTGACCGAGTTCCCGTGTAAACGGTCGTTTCCAATACGAAAGAAGACATTAGAGTTAACTCATTTTGACCGGTAATTCCGATGTCGACACGGTTTCTCGGCGGGAATCAAATAGGAACTCTCCCCGACATTCTCCAGCCGAGAACAGCGACGATCCCGCAAATTTGGCTGGACAACAGGAGCTCGTAGAAGGATGAGTCTCCCGCGACTCTCACCAGAAGAAGGATAAACGCAGCATAGAGGATCCTGCTGATCAAGCGACACCGGCAGCCCGCGGTCAGGGTACGCGAGATACGCGCGAGCCGCGCTACGGTGTTTCTCAACACGATCGACGCGTTTTTCGCCTGCGAACGGGCACTGACGAGTCTCGAAGCCATCGAATAGATCCTCGTCGACTCCGTCTGAGTCGTAGCTTCCTGCTGATCTTCGGGAAATTTCGTTTCCTCGTTTCTTTCGGCGTCCAACGAAGATCGATCCTCCGGTTCCATCGCTGATTCCTTTCCCGGCGCTGGCTCTTTCTCGCTCGGATCCTCCGAATCGGTCGAGACGTTCTGAATTCTCGATTCCGACGGATGCCTCGGTTTCTGGGAAACTCTGGCGCACAAGGTGACGACGTCTTCCGGGCATAATCTCGCGCGGATGCAGGGAGGAAGCCCTTCCAGCAGCGACGCGATCTGCTGCACGCACGCTCTTCTGCAGATCCTGCTCCGCGGGTTGCATGGCCCGGGACACTCGGCGAGTTGCATCCTTTACGATGATCCCACGAGTCCTGCAAGTTTTATTTCGTACCCGATGCATGTAATTTTAGTGATTGATTATTGCCGTGTAATTGAAAGGTACACTATGTTGCCGCGAGAAAAAGCCTAGACGACTTTTGAGTCTAGTATTGGGACTATAGTGTTCAAGGGTTAGTATAATGTAACGATCAGTTTCGTGTAACTTAACGAAGACACGCGAAATTAATTGTACATCGTCGCGAACAAGTCGAAAAGTCATTTGGAAGAAACGATGAAACAGTAATTTTCATCTGCAATCTTTGACCAGGATTGTTTGGAACTCTACACTTCCATCTCTCGTTATTCGAACAATTCAATCATTCCTCTGTCTATTCTCCAAAAACTGTCACCAAAGCGACGACATTCTTTCTGAGATAGTTAACACTAGGTTTACGGAACGCGTGAAATTCACGCGCATTGGATTTTAGAAATATTACTTTGTAAATGTTTACGATTTCGATTGATGCGATCACACCGACACGTACCCCGATTACCTAACAAATCTTCAGTTTCCACAATCTAAATAAACGAGCATCTTTTAGGAATAGCAGAACGAGGTGTACAATAAATGCCCGTAAACCCAGCGTTGAAAGACGTCTCGCACCTTCGATCGAAATCGCGTCGACAATTCGCCAGAAGAGAAGAATCCTGTTACTCGATTCGAGTCGAAGCGAATCGAGTTGACGTCTGTTTTCGTGAACTTCCGAGACCTTTCTTACGACACGGCGTTGCGCGGCAAGGGGTTAGCGAGCGAAAAGATTGTCCCGTTGTTCTTGAACCCGGCAGATTGATTTCCGTGGGAGGAGGAGAGGGCGAAAGGCCGAGGGAGAAGGAGACGTTCCCGAAGCCGTAGAAAACCGCCCGGCCGCGTCGACGTCAACGAGGACGCGCATCTGCCGGCGCGTGCGCCTCGACGCTCGAGGTGTTGAAAAGTTGACTGCGTATAACGAGGTTCAAGGGTGACTCGCTCGTAACGAAGCTTGAAAGGCCTGCGGGCGCTCCTTTCAATCAAACCGACTACTATGTTAGCCGAGACGATCTCGCCGCGGTTCCAAATCGGTCGGCCGTTCCGCGAACTCCTTTCAGCCCCTGACGCGTCGAGCGCCGCGGCGGTCACCGGTGACCGGCGACTGCGAACCGCTCGCGAACGAGCGCGACGCGTACGATCGATGTCGAATGAAACTGTTCAACCCCTTCGCATCTGTGCGCTTGAATTCTACGCAGAATTCAGTTTGTTTATTTGTAAGAACAAAGGACGAAATCGGTAATGATATTAGGGATAGAATGATAGAGGTATTTATTAGAACTACCATGAGAATC